GTCAAAGGCCTGGAAACGATGCCTTATGAGGAACGGCTAAGGGAGCTGGGCATGTTTAGCCTGGAGAAGAGCAGGTTAAGGGGTGATATGATAGCCATGTTCAAATATATAAAAGGATGTCACATAGAGGAGGGAGAAAGGTTGTTTTCTGCTGCTCCAGAGAAGCGGACACAGAGCAATGGATCCAAACTACAAGAAAGAAGATTCCACCTAAACATTAGGAAGAACTTCCTGACAGTAAGAGCTGTTCGACAGTGGAATTTGCTGCCAAGGAGTGTGGTGGAGTCTCCTTCTTTGGAGGTCTTTAAGCAGAGGCTTGACAACCATATGTCAGGAGTGCTCTGATGGTGTTTCCTGCTTGGCAGGGGGTTGGACTCGATGGCCCTTGTGGTCTATTCCAATTCTATGATTCTATGATTCTATGAGTCGGACACGACTAAATGACTGAACAACAACAAAAGCTAACTTCCTTGCTGTACAAGGTTACTCCCCACGTGTTTTACACCCATATTTTCCCATGGCGCTCAGGAACCTCCATGACTACAGGAGCAAAACCACCCCCCAACTTCACAACTTTGCCCTGCAGGTGGAGGGGGTTACACGAATGGGGTGTGGCAACAGCATGTTCACCCACACAACTCTATACTCTATGCCTGAAGAGAGCCTCCTACCTCCCTCCTTCCTAAATGCATAGCCCTCAACTGCTGGCACAACCCATTTTTTGGCATGAAAGCACGGCACCAAAACACGTGTTTAGGGGTGCCACAATCTCACCCTGAAAAAGTGCTTTTTGGGGGTGGGGCTGAAATCTTGCATGACACCCCAAAGCATGGATTTTAGGGCACCACTAGCACATGCCCCGCAAATGTGTGTGTTTGGGGCCACAATCTTGTGGACATCATGAGACACATGTGGGAGCACAGCATTTTGGAAGGTATGCTAAAATGAGTGCATGTGAAAAAATGCGGTTCAGAATGCGGCAGCTAAACTGGTCTTGAAAGACCTACACTGGCTCCCAGTACGTTTCCGAGCACAATTCAAAGTGTTGGTGCTGACCTTTAAAGCCCTAAACGGCCTCAGTCCAGTATACCTGAAGGAGCGTCTCCACCTCCGTCGTCCGGCCCGCACACTGAGGTCCAGCGCTGAGGGCCTTCTGGCGGTTCCCTCATTGTGAGAGGCCAAGTTACAGGGAACCCTCCCAGCAGATGTCAAAGAGAAAAATAACTACCAAACTTTTAGAAGACATCTGAAGGCAGCCCTGTTTAGGGAAGCTTTTAATGTTTAATAGGTTATTGTATTTTAGTGTTTTGTTGGAAGCTGCCCAGAGTGGCTGGGGGGACCCAGCCAGATGGGCGGGGTATAAATAAATAAATAAATAAATAAATAATAATAATAATAATAATAAGGCCCTGGGTGCACCTATAGCTGCTGCTGTGCTTCCTCCAACTGCATCAGAAAAGGTGTCCAGCACTTCTGCAAGAACTCAGGTGCAAGGTCTTTCTGTGCTGTGGTGCTGTTAGTGGGGATCTTGTTAGCTGGAGATATTAAGAACTGAAACTGGAATCTTTTGCTCCCAGTGCAGGTATTCTATGACTGGGCTATTCCACTCTGATCCTGCATATTCCTCAGTCTGGTTTTTGACCTGCTGTGTCTGTGCAGAAGTTCAGAACAATGATTCGTAAGGGTGAAGTTGTTAATTCAGTTTCTACCCCCAAAAGGGGTTTATCTTGGGCACCTAAATTTAAGTTGACATCTAAATACGTCGGCCTCTAATCTCTGATATATTATGGAAGGATGGCAGAGTCTTTTTACAGGTTGATTAAAAAAGCGCATTTCGAAAAGTTGCTATGTTTCCACATTTTCAGCCTCCCTGAAATGTAAGTGCAGCGGCAACGCATTTTAAATCTTTTTAAAAATTCAAAAGGTGTCGTCAGTCATCATGATGCGTAATAAAAGACGGCTTCCTAAATGTGTACACATGCAGATTATTAGCCTTTGAAAAGATTATAATAATTGGAACGTTTTCATGGCTGCCCTGTTAATAGCGAGCCATTAATGGGCTTGGGCTGGGACTTAATAATTTATTGAGGTGGGGGTGGAGGTTAGAATAGCTGATAAAGTCATTTTCACTCCCCTCCCCCACCTATTACTGACATTTAGCTCCATTCTCGTGAATGGGTTCAAATATGTTTGTTTTTGAAAAAATGTTACACCACACTTAATGTGGCCTACAGGGTTTAGGCTTGAGGAATACTTATTATTTATGGATTCAATTACAATAATTTCTACAACCAAAGTACTGAGTACAAAGACAAGGGAGCTCTGTTCTTCTAGATTTCTACATGCAGATTTGTTTGTGATGGTGCTGTTTTTATTATTGGGAAGTTTGTTTGTTTTTTAAAACTTTCCACCTGAATTTTGAAGTGATGCAAATCCAGAATTCTCACGTCTTTTCGACCCACTGCAATCTACATAATGTGCAGCTTGTCTCTTAGATAAAAGCACCTCTGGAACACACAGAACAGAAATACACTGCAAACGGTTTTGTTTAGAATCAAGACATACCCAAACCTTGCCTCTATCTCTAGAAAACATGTGGAATGTGGCAAACTCAACTTCCTGCAAATCTCAACTTGTCATGATTGCTTTAAATCAATATGCTATCCTTTGTGTTTGGAAATAAGTCTGGAAATGTATGGGGTATGGGCAATGAATGTCTGATGAAAACTTAGAAGCCAGGTAAGATTTCCAGTAGGGCACAGCTTCAGAATCTGCATAGTGCTTTAGACCTCTCAATGAGCAGAACAAGTTTTACAAATGTAAGATAGGGTAAATGTATAGATTTGCTTAGCTTGCATTATTCATACAGATCTCAGAAGTCAGCTTTTTGTGCCACAAGGCATGGAATTACTTTTGTGGAATTTTCAAGTTTTGTTTTTTAAGCTCAGAGGATGCAAGAAGCCAATGAGGTCATGGGGACGTGAACCATTCTGGTTTTCTCCCTTGCAAAGATCCCGTAGTCACTTAAGCACTGCAGTTGTACAAAAATGTAGCACGTAACTAAACTGAAAAGTGGATTACTTAACATTGGTTCAGCAGAAGTGTCTGCCGTCACACTTGCTTCTCTGCTGGAAGGAAAGTTTTGTGGTCTCCACCTGTTCTCATCGTCTCGCTGTCCCCCTCCTTTGCAAAGAAACATTGGACACTTAAACGTTCCAGTTAACACCTAACTAAGCATCTTACCTTGTCTCAGAATTGCTGCCACAATTTCCAGCGCAGGTTCATGCCCCCAAAGCTATACATTACTCAGATGAAAGGCTCACTGGAGTCCACAGGTATTGCTTCCAGGTAAGGATGTACAGAATTGCAGCCAGAAATAGTTACTCTTAAAGGTGTAACACAGGATTCATAACAAGGGCCTCCACAAATGCTCAAACCTATGGGAAAAGATTATTCTCCTCCTTGCAGCTTATTTACTTGTGCATCTTCTTTCCAGAACAGAAACTAAGGTGGAAGGTTGCTAAGTCGACTAGGACCTGTGATATCAGGGTTAAAGTCACCAGTCAGCCATGAAACTTCAAGACAGTCACTGTCTCTCAGCCCAGCCAACCTCACAAAGTTGTTGCACAGATAACATATGGAAAATGAGAATGGATAATAATAATAATAATAATAATAATAATAATAATAATAATAATAATAAATTTTAATTTATATCCCGCCCATGTTTTCCCAGCCACTCTGGGCGGCTTCCTACAGAACACTAAAATACAATAACCTATTAAACATTAAAAGCTCCCCTAAACAGGGCTGCCTTCAGTTGTCTTCTAAAAGTTTGTTAGTTATTTTTCTCTTTGACATCTGGTGGGAGGGTGTTCCACAGGGCGGGTGCCACTACCGAGAAGGCCCTCTGCCTGGTTCCCTGTAACTCAATACAATGCATTGCAATACAATGCAATGCAATTGCAATATTGCAATTCAATGCAAACTCAATACTGCCACATTATGGATAACCATTAATGCCTCGTTCCAGTCCCTGCTTTTGACCAGGGGGTGTGTGAGATTACCCAAGCTTGGAATCATCCTAAAAAGCAAGCTAAAAATCAAAGGAAAAATAATCTGGGCTACAACCAGGAAATACTGAGACCTATGAACATTGGACTTTACTTGTAAGTCCTTTGCAAATCCATTGTGTGGCTTCAATTCATGATCCTGTATTACATATAAGTTATGCTGTCAGTTTGCATTTCTTTTGATCTGATGTGTAGAGATCTTTCCTATTCTACTTAATTCCACAGGGTTCTGGAAGCTTTTCTGTATGAAAGAAACAAGCAGAAAGTTCATGATGTTTGGGATATTCCTTCAGAGAAGCTGAGTACAGCTGGCTTAAACTGGTTCGCTTATCTCTTTTGCAAAGGTCTTGCTGACTATAAAAGTAAGGCCAGAAGGAGCCTGAGTTTCACTTTCTCTTTCTATCTCTTTTCCTTCGGGTGTGGTGTTCTGTATGTAGTACGCTTAGTGTTAAGGTTTAGACTTACTATAAGTTATTATAAGTTTAAGTTAAGTGTGCTGCAAATGGATTTCTTATGGACAGTGCCAATCCTGAACGTATTGGATTTGCGACCATTATGCTCATTTGCCTTCAGGAGCAGTAAAGCTCTGCTGGATTGAATACAATTGCCTCTGGTCTATTTTTTGGGAATCCTGGAACGTGTTTTAAGTTTTTACTCTGCTAACTATACATTGGAATCTGCTGTGAATCTATATTTAGTAGAATTCAAATGACACGACGAGTTCTCATCCGAACTCTCCTCTGCAGCATCCTACTTTTTGAAATACTGTTATAAATTCACATTTTAATAGTTGATTCTCTTCCGTAAGTTCATAAAAGTCATTAGAGGAAACATGTGCTATACAAAAACGAAAATGGGTGGCTCAAATATTTCACCCTGGTAAAATAACGCGTGTGTATTCTGTTGATAAGGAAGCACACAAAGCCCTTCTGTTAACACAGTTTATTGGCACACATATTGGCAAAGCATACATAAAATACAGTTGTATCATATAACACACTGACTCGCTGTATTTTTTTTTTTTACATGATGAATTGAACATATTAATATGTAAATGAAAAAAAATTAGTTTATTTTATAAAGTTTCACATAAATATACTGGAATCAAAAATTAGTTTGGAGGGCTTTACAAAAGTATTATACAAGAAGTATCGCATGAAAGAACAACAAAATAAACTTAAGATATAATAAAAACACAAAAAATAGTCTTTGTTTAAACTGCTCACAAAATTAATGGATTACATGGCTTTCGAAATTCAGTTCCACAGCAATTTTACAAAGCATAAACTCTCATATAGGATGGGTGTCTTTCTCCACACAATTCCCCCACCCCACCCCGGTCTTTGATGAAACAAAACTACATTTTTAGCTGTCTTGGTGCTTTTGTTATCAGTTGCAAATGTAAAGCAGTGGGCTTTTAAAATTGCTAGAATAAAAAATGGAGGGCAGCACAAACGAGGGGAAGAAACAAGGGCAGAGAGAGCCTCAATTTGTGCCAGGAAACGATTAAGAAGTTAATTCTCCAGGGACCACTAAAGTAGCACAGGCCCCAATCTGGGTAAGAGCAATACTCCATTATATCCTTAGCTGCCTCCTCTTTACCATCTAGCAGCCAGATTTTCATGCACGTAGCCCACGACAGAAATCTGAAATCTCACCCGTTATCTTTGTCTAAAGGAAGCTGTTTGCCGAACAGCTCCTCTGTGGGATTTCAATTTTCTTTGGATCAGAACCAAGTCTGGATCAGATTTCAATTTCCTTCTGATCAGTCAACATTGCTGGCCTTATCATTTTTAATTTCACGAATTTTACTTTGTAACAAGCAATGTGGGGGCGATTGGATTTGTAACACTGATACTCCAGGAAGCTCATATTTGTACATTTTATGGGACGTATTTTTAAGAGGCAGAATCACTGTTCTCACGGACATGGTCTCATGGACACTGTTCTCATGGTCTTAAACACGAAACCTATTAGGGCACAGCTTTTCTTCTTAACGAAATTCCATCCTATCTTGTTTCCTCCCTTTAAAATGGCTAACCTGGGAAGGAAACTGTGTGTGTGTGTGTGTCCTATCTTGTGTGTGACACACAAGTCCTATCTTGGTTCTCAAACAGAATGCATTCCGGGAGGTACATTCGACTCAAGGTGCAGTTTCTGATTGGCTGCAGAAGCGTCGGACGTTTGGCTTCCAAAAATCGTTTGAAAACCGGAACACTCACTTCCGGGTTTCGATTGTTCGGGAGCCGATTTGATTGAGAGCCAAGGCGTTTGAGATCCAAGGTACACACACACACACACACCCCTCCTCAGGAGCAAGTTGGAAAAGAGGATGTCTTTTGTTCACCATGTTTTTAAAACGGCCAATAGATCCTGATCACTAATGGTCTTCTGTTAGATATGGCCTTTAAAGAATAAAGTGGGGGGGGGGTCATAGAAGGGAAGAATCTTCCACTGAAATGTGAGTCTTAATCAATGTTCATGATGTGCTACTTACATATTCGGTTCTTTTCACTGAGGTCAGTGTCAGTATCATGTCATGTGCAAGAGCTTCCAAGGTACCTATCTGGAAGCTTATAAATTATTTTCCTAACTTAAAAAAAGAGAGAGAGCTGTACACATTTAGAAATAGGTTCTATATCTGTTGAAAACTGGGAGTTATTGTCGTCATAAAGGATGCTGCGATATAGTAATGGTGACTTGCTTCAGGAAACTTATTGGGAAGCCTGAGGTGTTGGGTTCTCAGGCTTGGTTTCTTGGTTTGCAGGAGGTTTACTGCTCCACGGACTGTTGTTCCCCAACGCAGGTGAATTGTTGAAATCTTCGTCATCGTCCATGCCATTTGCTGCATCATACTGCGTGTTCTCTAGCCTTGTGATGAGTCGCTCGTCTTCGTCGCCAAATTCTCCCCCCATTAGCGTTGGCTCCCCGACTACCATCACATCCTGTGAAAAGCACCCAACACTTGTTATATAAAGATGTCTGGAAAAAAGCCCACACTTAGCATAGTCATTGGTCTATCAGTGACCCATTTCATAGAAGTATCCCTGAATGCAAGCCCCGTTGATATAGTGCACTGATACGGTGCCCTTCATAATAGCCAGGCTCAAAAATGGAACAAAGTGAAATAAAGGCTCAAGATCAGAACCGCTGGAATTGGGTTATGGAACCAGAAATAAATAAGAACTTTGTACCCTGAAACCCAGCACACGGGAAGTCACCCAAAATTATTTAATTTGGTTGGGATAATGGGCTCTTTTGATTGTATTTTGATTCGGTATTGTGTTAATGCGGCAACTATTGGATTATTGTAATTAAAATGGACTAAAATTATTATACAAAAAAATTGGAACAAAGTGTTCTTCCTATGCATGTAGAAACTTGTGGTAGGATTCTACTCTGTTGTTAATGCTCAGATCTCTTGTCTGTTGTCAACTCTCAAGTTTAAAATACAGACAATAGCAGGTGGAAAAAATGTGCATAAAAAAAGGATTTAAACCGTTGCTTAAAATGATTTCAGTGACCCTTTTCAAATTCAGTAAATTATTTCTATTTCAGGTTTTGTGGTTTTCAAGCAACAAAGGAGTGAAGTGTCAACACTTAGACGTTCAAATTAAAGGCACACTTTATCTGTAAGTTTCCCTCACACAAAACACCCTTGAAATGAAGAGGAGCCGTTGCTGTCCTCATGTATACTCCCGTTCATTTCAAGGGGGCTTGTGGAGGAGAACTTCCAGATGGATTATGCTAGAGGTTCTCTGCTTTATTTCTCTAGCCATTGACTACGGCACCTAAAATGAAGCTCACAAATGCTACTTTGAATGTACCAGCCATTGGAACGCAGAACTCAGCACCTCTTATCCCTAAGCAACTCACTTGACATCTCACCACTTAATTATGGTAATTAATTTAGGTAGAGCTTTTTTTTAAAAAACCCCCACAAAAACAATGTTCACACTGATTTGACAATTTGCATTACTAATTAAGTAATTAGCAAAAAGGAAAAAGAAACTCTGATTGCCAACAAGCCCTGGATCTGCCATCTGCTATTTTGTGGTGTGTTTGTCACCTCTCTGTGTGTAGGCAATGCTGCTGCCAATCTGTGCGATGAGAGGACCAATCTGTCCAGCTGGTACCATGAAAAGGAAGACAAGAACGCTAATTATAATTACACCGATGAAGCTACCAGTTGTCAAAAGCCGGAAGGGGCAAGAAGAAAAGGATCTGTCCCATTGCTGCTGTGAGTGCAAACAGTCCTTTCACATAACCACAAGTACAACGGCACATCGATGGTTTTCCGCTGATCCTTAGCTAGCATGGAGTACTAAGACAGAGCGCCGGACAGGAACCAGAGGGATTTCTGGAGCTCACGGCTTTTTTGCCACCTCTAGGCCTAAAACCCCACAGATATCTCCAGCTGAAAAACCAGTCTTAGAGTTGTTGGACTCTGAAGTTAAAAACTTGTCTAAAATGTATAATCTATTGTTGGAGTGGCATACAAAGGATGAACAAGTTAAATCTGTAATGATAGATTGAGCAAGAGATGTGGGACATAACATAATGTTTGAAGATTGGGAAAGGTTGTGGAGGAAGGGGGTCAAGTTCACTGCATGTACGGTGTTAAAGGAAAACATTATGAAAATGATGTATAGATGGTACTTAACTCCCATAAAATTAGCAAAGATATATCATAATAGTGATAATCTATGCTGGAAATACCGTATTTTTCACCCTATAAGACACACTTTTCCCCCTCCAAAAATGAAGGGGAAATCTGCGGGAGGTCCCGCAGGGATGTCTAGGCTGCGGATAGCAGCCTGCTTCCCAGAGCGTTGGGCGCCCTGAAAGCAGAGCGCCCGGGAACACACCCGCAGCCTAGGCAGCCCTGCGGGAGGTCCCGCAGGGATGTCTAGGCTGCGGATAGCACTCTGCTTCCCGGAGCGCCGGGCGCCCTGAAAGCAGAGCGCCCGGCGCTTCGGGAACACCTCTGCAGCCTACGCAGCCCTGCGGGAGGTCCCCGCAGGGCTCCCCACACTGCGGATAGCAGCCTGTCGCCCGGTGGGCGGGGCACCCTGAAGCAGAGCGCCCCTCGCGCCGGGCATACATCCGCAGCTTGGGGAGCCCTGCAGGAGTTCCCCGCAGGGCTCCCCACGCTGCGGATAGCAGCCTGCCGCTCGGCGGGTGCGGCACCCTGAAGCAGAGTGCCCCGCGCGCCAGACAGACATCCGCAGCGTGGGGAGCCCTGCAGGAGTTCCCCGCAGGGCTCCCCATGCTGCCGATAGCAGCCTGCCGCCCAGCGGGTGGGGCGCCTTGAAGCAGAGTGCCCCTCGCGCCGGGCAGACATCGGCCAGCCCCACAAGCTCAGGGGACAGCAGGGAGGCGCAGCGCCGCCATCCCGCTGTTCCTCGACCTGGTTCGTTTTCCCCGACCTGCTTTTGGGGGGGAAATAAAGGAAAATTTTTTTCCTTTATTTCCCCCCCAAAAAACTAGGTGCGTCCTATGGGACGGAGCGTCCTATGGGATGAAAAGTATGGTACAAAGAAAAAGAAGGTACCTTTTATCATATGTGGTGGACCTGGCCCAAGGTGAAAGACTTCTGGGAGAAGATTTATAATGAATTGAAAAAAATGTTGAAATATACATTTATTAAGAAACCAGAGGCCTTTCTTCTTGGAATAACAGGTTTGGAATTGCCCAAGAAAGATTTTAGATTGTTTTTCTATGCCACAACTGCAGCTAGAATTTTGTTAGCTAAGAATTGAAAAACACAAGAAGTCCCAACAATGGAGGAATGGCAGATGAAGATGATGGACTTTTCGGAGCTAGCCGACCTGACTGGAAGAGTCCGCGACCAGAAGGAGGAGGAATGCCAGGAGGAATGGATGAAATTCAAAGACTATTTAGTCAAATATGTTAAGATAACTTAATTGGAAAAACTTGCAAGTGCCAGACAGGCTTAGGATTTAAATATGCAACGTTAGAGAATAACATGTTTAAATTTAAAATGAAAAGAAAGAAGTTAAGTGATTAAGTTAATTTTATGAGAAAATTAGTTTTGGAAAACTGTTACAATGATATACATTGAAATTCAGCTAGGGGGATTTGAGGAAGTCACGTAACAATGTTACTACGATTGGATTAAGTATAATTAAGATTTATGTTTGTTTGTTTTAAAATTTTGGAAAATCAATAAAAAAAAATGAAAAATAAGAAGAAGAAAGTTTCTCTCTGCTTGGAGATATTAACTGTGCTTCCGCCAACCCCTCTGTTGACATTTAGACTGTGGGTGTCTTGGGACAGAGGCAGAAAGTCCCACCGGGGGCGAGTGGGTATTTTCTTTTGCATGTTATAAAATGCGTTCAAGGTAAATAAAGATTTTTTTTTTTAAAAAAATCTTACCAAAGCTATTTTCAACAACAAAACGCTAAACAACTAATTAAACAGGGGGCATGGTTAATTAAAGTACAGCCTTGCCACCAGTTTGCAACAGTGTGTAGAGAGATTCAATATAGAGAGAAGAAAAAATTCTGTGCAAGGACCAAACCAGCACCACAAAGGTGTGATTCTGAGTTGCTTTCGTGGTCTTCTTTTCTCTGGAAACTACTGCAAGGTGGCAGTGGTTCTAAAATTCAGGATATCTAGAATGAATTACAATATTTGCATATGTGATTTCAAGATTGGAGGTTCTTAAATAGTTTAAAAACAAAACAAAAACCCAGAGTGGATTTTTTTTTTTTGCGGTGTGAGGGTAGGAAATCAGAGGGAGGCATGAAAACTAATTAACAAACCTAGAAGATAGAAGATAGATGGAGCAATATTTAAAAACACATGGTTTGTTGCATTAAAATTGATGATGGTGATGATTTTTTTGCTGGCCCTTCATCAAAAGGACCCTGGGAGGATGGTGGTGGTTACCATATATAAAAAGACAGTGAAAAGGAATTGTGAGCCAAACAAAAGTGAGAGGGGCATGTGTTGAAAGGCAGATGACTCAGATCTTCTACGGATAGTTAAAACTCTGGTGGAAGGAGTTTTTTTGGGGTTTTCTGTGCAGGGGTACCCTGTGATTCAGACAATCCTTCCCTCTCAAAAACAGAGAGAGGGTAGTACATAGGACTTCATAAGAAAAGCCTTGCTGGAGTCCAGTATCCTGTTTCAAACAGTAGCTGTCCTCGCAAACAAAGTTTGAAGGCAATTGCCTTCTCCTGCTATTGCCCGGGAAACTGGTATTTGATGGTGCCTTGCCTGGGAGCTGAAGAGAGGCTTCATGTTGATTTTGTGGTTCATAGCTCTGTGGCTCCATCAATTTGCCTAATCCCCACAGTGCCATTCTAAGGCTGGAGCTGAATTATTTAGTGGAGCGCTGAATTGCCCTTGTAGGCAAGTGTAATAATGCATTGAGTTTTCCTTATGCTGAGAATTTTTGTCATTGCCTGAAGTTTGCATTGAATGAGGTTCTTATACACATGTTATATATACTGTAATCTAGAGTTCTTTTTCGGGCCAACCAGAAGATTCACAAAACAGAGATCGAAATCTGAGTATCTCATTCTCAGAGTTCCATTGGGATCACGCCAGCACAAGTATCCATATAGAGAGTTGTTCTCATGGACTTATTTCAGGAATATTTTGACTGTTTGTCTTTGAGATATTGAGTTGCGCATGTCATTATTATTTGGGCATTGTGCATATTATTAAGATTTCATGTATTAGAAGGTGTCAAAATGTCGTACATTTGTTAGTGAATTTTTGTAAACCACATACAGAGTCGTTCAGTCTGTGATTTATCTCTCTGTATTCCTTGGGTGTGGTATTAATCTCCATTTGAAGGCACCTAGGCCCTTGAGCATCACCACCAATTTAGTCCATACAGAACACCCGGTGGAAGGAAGGGCACACATCTGCTCACTTATCTAGCAGAAATTGTTGCCAGTCATGTCTCATTTTGTGGGTTTCTGGAGTGGGGCAGGTTGTGGGTACAGAGGCTGGAGAGCAGCTGGAGCTATGCCCACTCAGGAGGCCCTTTCAAGAATTTATGAGGGAAAACATGAAATTATTTATCCACAGTGATACATGAATGCAGTGGTTCTTTCGAACTTCCGGGAATCCTTTCTGCCTTGACTAGACTTCCCAGGAAGTTCTGAAGCACACACAGTTCATGTGCAGCCCTGGCAGTCTAACTAGGCCCCTCGCAAGCAACTGTGAGTGTGCCAGAGAGGTCACACCAACACTTTCCTGTGGTTACACATTGCAGGGGAAGATGGATGGGCAAGTTCCTTCAGAGACACACGTCTGTCATTACTGCTCTTCTGGAGAACACAGCTCAAATACCACAGCATTTATGCACCGCCAAGGTCCATAATCAAAACCAAGGGAGCGGGTGGCACTGTGGTCTAAACCACGGAGCCTCATGGGCTTGCTGATCAGAAGGTCGGCAGTTCGAGTCCACGTGATGGGATGAGCTCCTGTTGCTCTGTCCCAGCTTCTGCCAACCTAGCAGTCCGAAAGCATGCCAGTGCAAGTAGATAAATAGGTACCGCTCTGGTGGGAAGGTAAACAGTGTTTCTGTGCACTCTGGAACTCATCACGGTCCTCTGTGGACCAGCAGCGGTTTAGTCATGCTGGCCCCATGACCCGGAAAAGTTGTCTGTGGTCAAACGCCAGCTCCCTTGGCTTGAAAGCAGATATGAGAGCCACACTCCATAGTCAAATTCGACTGGACTTAACCACCCAGGGGCCCTTTACCTTTTTACCTTACAATCAAAAGTTTTGAGGGATGCTTGAATGGTAACGTACCACTAAATGAATAGATCATTTCATAACGTGTCAACTGCCAGTGGTTATCAGAAGGATTTCTTTTAACCACTTGTATTATTAACTTCCACAATCAATGGCAGTAGGTTACTTGCATTAGCTAGATTATATTGTCTACCTTGGAGCTATCTTTATTTTTCATCTTGCCATCTGATCTTATAAAGATCGCAAAGCTTTCGCTACAAGATGCAAATGCCCTGTGTTCATTCCATGTACCAATCAAGAGAAAGAAAGAGAAAAAAACACATTGTGGTCTTGATTCAGAGAAACCAGTTGTGTCAAGTCCTCCTGAAATCAACTGGATTTCAATGTTCCAGTTGATTTCAGTGAAGCTCTGTCCACTTCTTTGGCTCATCTGCATTGTTTCTGCCCCACAGTGGGACCCTCTGCTCCTTGGAAAGCAACGCCAAAGACACCCGCCAATTAATTCCACACCAAGTCATCTCAACTCCCTAGTGCAATAGCCACCAACCTCTGAAGAGGACTGGAAGTGACTCCTTTTACAGCCCCTCAATGCTTCTCCTTAAATTGGCCAGTAGGGTTTACTGTTGTCGAATGACACAAGGCTCCATCCCTCCCAGGGTTGAGGCTGCAGCGTTGGAGTGCTCCTAGCTCCTGCTCATGGATTGAGAAGCAGAATCCAAGAATTAAACCCTAGGGCTTTCTTTTGCAGGGGACACACACAGCTAAGGGCTAGTCAAAGCAGCTTGCAAGATTCAGCTACATCCGCTCATTTCATGGTTACAAATAGCAATAGTCAGTGTACGAACAGGTGGGTCTATGCTTGCAAAATTTGGATCACAGCAAGACCATAGCTGTCAACTTTTCCCTTTTCATGTGAGGAATCCTATAGGAATTTCCCTTAAAAATGGGAAAAGTTGACAGCTATGAGCAAAACCCCACTTGAAGGCTGTGCTTGGTTTAGTGTGGCCAAAGGCAGCTGTACTGCTGGAACTCTCTACGTTTTCCACACCTGTGGAAAAAATTCTTTGTTTTTACCCTTAAACAACCCCATGGCAGCTTGTTGAGTTATAAAAAACAGAATGTGGAGGTCCATCGTAAATATGGCACACAACCACCTTGTAAGGTGAATGGATTCTTCATGAATATAATCAATATTATTATATTTCCATTCTGTTCTACTTTTAAAATTGCTATCTGTGTACAGATGGTGAACTTGAAAATGGCCTGTTCCAAGTAATGTTTAGTGTTATCCCCCACCCAAAACAAACTGATTCAAAGCGCAGGCCCATAATCCCTGGAGCATGGAAAATATACACATGGGAAAAAATAGTTGCCAGCTTTTGATTACAAAACAGCTGAGGATGTGGAGTTGATTGAGACTGGGGCACCTGCTCAGACCAGTAATGGGGAATATCAAAGGGCTTACGCCAGGGCATCAAGGAACAAATGAAGGACAAACCAGCTAAATGGGACAACAGGCAACAGTTCAAAATACCATCAGTTTCTAAACGCACTATAATTTTAAAAAAGCTTTTTCATAAACAGCAACACATTTCATGGAGTTGGCCAACCACTGTGTGATGCAAAACTGACTTAAGAGTTTCCACAATATATTCATTATAGAAGGTAAAACAAACAAAATCTTGGGAGAAGCTTAGATTGTTTAAAAAGAGCTAAAGCTTCATTTCCTGAAGCTCCTAGATGGGGATTGGGAAGTCATTTTCTTCCATGATCAGATTATTTCCTAGATGTCTGAAATGTCCTCTTTGTCCAACAGGCTCCTCATGGGGATACCTGAAGAAGTGTCTCCACCCCCATCGTTCAGCCCTGACACTGGGAACTAGCTCTAAGCAGCTTCTGGTGGTTCCCTCACTATGAGAAGCGAGGTTACAGGGAACCAGGCAGAGGGCCTTCTCGATAGTGGTGCCCGCCCCATGGAACGCCCTCCCATCAGATGTCAAGGAAATAAACAACTATCTGACTTTTGGAAGACACCTGAAGGAAGCCCTGTTTAGGGAAGTTTTTAATGTTTGATGTTTTATCGCTTTATTATTTTTAGTAATAATAATAATATTCTGTTGGGAGCCACCAAGAGTGACTGGGGAAACCTAGCCAGATGGGTGGGGTATAAATAATATGTTGTTGTTGTTGTTGTGGCATACCTTTGCAGCTATCACTGGCAAGAAGGAGACTCTCTTCTCATAATTTGTCATGGGGGTTAAAGGTAAAGGTAAAGGAACCCCTGACCATTAGGTCCAGTCACGGCCCTCATCTCGCTTTATTGGCCGAGGGAGCTGACGTACGACCTCTGGGTCATGTGAACCAGAGCAGCACACGGAAACGCCGTTTAGCTTCCCGCCAGAGTGGTACCTATTTATCTACTTACACTTTGATGTGCTTTCGAACTGCTAAGTTGGCAGGAGCAGGGACTGAGCAACAGGAGCTCACCCCGTTGCGGGGATTCAAACCACCGACCTTCTGATTGGCAAGCCCTAGGCTCAGTGGTTTAGACCACAGCGCCACCTGTGTCTCTTGGGGGGGGGGGTAATCATTGACTAACTGGAAGGAGAAGGAGGGCTGACCAGTAATGCCAGGAGTGCGGATGTGTCTCAGTTCCAGGCAAGAAAAACATGGCTCTAGGTGCAGAAAACACTCCCCTGATAATTTCAACTTTCTTGTTTTTAAGTGATTTTTTAGTGATTATGCTTCCAAAGCTATGCTTAAAAGTACTTTTGGGCAACGCCTGGGGAAATTTCAGACACCAGAGGCTGTTGCTGAATGTTCACAGGAACGCCTGTATATGGCACATGCAAAGAACAGAATTCTCAAAATACTCAGCACTGTCTAGGATCAGGAGCTGACTTAGCCACTTTTCTAGCACAATGTGATCATCTGCAGCCTATGGACTGCCTTTACATTTATCAGCTTTACTTTCCTCATCTACAGAGAAGTGAATGGAAGCATTTCTGGGCTGAATACAGAAATGCCGTTTAGAGAGCGTGGACTAAAAAGTGCAGTACACATGCAGAAACCATTTTATGGTTGTCTGGCTCTTGGCCTATGTGAATTGTGTGTGTGTGTGTGTGTGGTTGTCATCTTATATGGAGGCCTAACAGGAAGGTGAGACTTACAGGTACCTGACTTGAAAGACTCAGGTTTGCAGCTGCCGCCGCCGCCTTTTTCTTGCTGTTGGTGCTGTTGGCATTGTTCCCGGCGCTGCTGTTGGACGTGCTGCTGGTGGAGTTTTTCCTTTTCCTCCGTTTGGTTGCTGGCTGCCTTGTAGGCTCTGCTACAGTAGACACACGGGAGAGAAAATGAGTGACAACTCTCAGTGCGGGCCGGGAAACGAGAGTGACAAACAACGGCATTCTCCTCCCCTGGTTTAAAATTCCCGCCTGCTGAACGAATCTGCTAAGCACTGGACACGTTAGCCTAGAACTCAAAGCAAATTTAAATTACGGGGTATGATTCCGATATAGAATTCTAAGCATTCATAGATCTCAAACCCAAATAGCTCCCTGAGGTGGTGTGAAGTGGAGTGATTCACCTCATAGCTCCTCTTCAGAGCAGATTCTCCTCTCAGAGCAGATTCTCCCCATCAGTCATCCTCCATCTTCCACTGGGACAATGGTTGCTGCTGATTCCGCTGCCAAGCGGACCTGATCCTGACACCTTAAGCCAATTAATTACTACATCTGGCAAAGGATAGTGTTAGCTGACCAAGTGATGGGTCGACATGGATCTGGCCAGAGCTAACATTTCTGTGGTGAGGACTTTCTCAAAGGTCTATGGGAAATGTACAGATTCATACCTGGAGGTGCCACCATCCTCTGCCATTTCTGAAACAAGCATGTTTTCAGGCAATCTCGAGGACTTAAATTATAGGTTTTATGCCTTGACATCAATTCTTGCATTGGCTCCAATATTACACACAACTGCAAAGAGAAAGGAGGCAGGGAAGCAAATTTAAAAGGAATTGCATTTGCTGAAAAACATACTTCTAGTCTGAATTGAAACTCAGCTTATCGCCCTGGTCTCTGGCTCCTATGCTTTCTGCTAAACAGAGAGTTATGTGATATGCATTTCAAGCAGTGACGCTCTTGAATCTCACATTTCTGGGCTCAGGAATCTAGAATGCAGTTTTGCTGCAAATATGAGGTGAGCAGGACAACTCAATTTCTTCTCTGGCTTGAGTTGTATTCTGAGCAGATGCGGTTGTGCTTTCAAAAACAGGCAGTAGCCATTGCTTCTTTGTCCCAGAATTCTAGCTGTGCAAGCTGACACATGGAGACTTCTACAGTCTGCAGTTTTCATCTTGGAACTGAGTCTAAAAACTGACACTATGGCCATAACTTTTTTGCTTTTTATCCGCCCCCCCCCCCAAGCTTTGTGCAACGTCTTAACAGATTAAGATGGAATCTCAAATGTGACATTTTGGTTGGTTCTAATAAATTTATTGCCCAACTGTGGATTTGGGAGGTGTTTTTTTCCCTTATGGAATGCATCCTTTTTGTATCTCCTGGAGAATACTGTAACCTGTGTTAATCTGTTGTACAGGTGTATAAAGAATGGAAGGAAACATACAGAATATAACATTTTCATATCTCAAGGATAACTTATTTCTCTTCGCCTACAATTTTCATTTTACGTTTTGTTATACACAGGCTTATGCATCTCTTTCTGGTTCCAATCTGTGCTTTCAGAAACCCTGCATTCCTCAGTCTATCTCCTTAGTCTTAGTCCTCTGTAATCTGCCTGTTCATTCTGCTATGTGACTCCCTTCTCTGACCCTGAAGGACTCTTCCTCTTCCCATTCCTATCCATCCCTATTTCTATAACTAGCTTCCAGCATCTTTTTACTCCTTGCCTCCGTCTTCCCAGTTCTCTTTCTTTCCATTTCTCTGATTGTCCCCCTTTTACCTTCCTTCCCACTCTGACTTCACGGATGTGAGCACACCAGAAGTGGGGTGAAGCGAGGAGGTGCTGGTCTGCTCAGGGCTCACGCATACAAGGAACATGGGGGTTCTAGGGAGTGAAGAGGGCTTTGTTTTCATTTTTCTTTCATTTTTAAAGCCCTATGCGGCCTAGGACCCTCGTACCTACGGGACCGCCTCTCCTGCCCCGCAGAGGAACTTAAGGTCCACAAATAACAACACTTTGAAAGTCTTGAGCCCCAAGGAGGTTAGATTGGCCTCAACCAGGGCCAGGGCCTTTTCAGTTCTGGCCCCAATCTGTCACAAGAGACTAGGACCCTGCGGGATTTGACATCTTTCCGCAGGGCCTTTGGGCTGGACTCAGTCTAACCCCATTTATTTATTTATGGAACCCCTTATATGGGATTTGTATATAAATTTTCCCTCGGCTCTTTTTGCTGGCTCATGTAGGAACAGCATGGATAGTTGGCCCCGGTGAATATTTGACATTTTCTCCCCTTATGGCTTTGATCTATAGGCTACCACTAAAACGAGGCTGCATTTTAAACTGTATTCTAACTTATATTTTAATCATTTGGTGTTTTTTGTTTTGTTTTGTTTTGAACGTTTTTACTGTATTTATATTCGGTGTTAGCCGCCCTGAGCCCGGTCTTTGCCGGGAAGGGTGGGGTATAAATAAAAATTTATTATTATTATCTAGCCATTCCAGCTATTCCTCATCAGCCTCAGATTTTAACTCACCCATTATGAGGAGGATTTCAGCCTAATAGAGCATCCTTGGACGTTCATGGGGGGGGGATGTTCTGCTTTGAACCTTTCTGAACCATCTAGAAATCTACTTTTCTTTTCCTTTTACCTAATAACTAAAGGTGGTTTCCCACCTGCAACCTGAAGTGATGGTGCAATCTATGCTACCACCTCAGGTTTTGACCCTCGTTCTGCAGCATTTGTTTGCCCTTAAGTCCTAATTTCTCGGGATTCAAAAGATGGTCTTCTCTGGCAGAAAGCTGCCCATTCAACAGGTGTGAGTGCCCCCATATTCTGAGGTGAGGTAGGTGGTGACTACCTAGGCCCTCTGAGCTGAGGGAGCCTATTTCTGGAATGGGCTGCCCAGAAATATCAATTTGGTACTTCACAGCAATCCTTCTTTGGAGAAATGTTGCCTAGTATTTGCTGCAGAATTTTCTCTTTAAATTTAGATTGTATGGTTGTAGTGTTGGATCGGCAGTTTTGCATTTTTATAGCAATTTTGGTTTTTTGCCCTGCCTGTTGCCAAACATTTTTCTTAATGCTACATTTATGATTAGCAAACATATCACATGAGTGAAACTCAGATAATAAGGTTGTCCTAAAATAACCCAGATCTCCAAGTTTATGTACTAACTTTTATTTACAGATATATAGAGAGAAACATTTTTCTGCCATAATAAAAATGTCCAGCTCTGGAGTTATAATTAATAAACAGATCCATCTTGCAATGTATTATGTCTGCTAGTTTTCTGTAGTCAGTTGGGATTTCATATAAGAATAGATCAGTTTTTGGAGTACACAACTAATATTTACATTCTCGGTTGGTTATATTCATTCATATTTTGGTTGTCTTCAATCATTCCTATATTTCCATCAGACACATTCTTTACAAGCAAGACTGCCAAAAAGAGAGCTACTGTAATTCTACCAGTTCTGGGCGCCAGGTGGCAGAACTAACTCAGCTAAGGAACCTAAACCCTCACTTGGCTTGTTATGGTGGAAGCGAAATGCAAATTACTTTCAAGTGAGCTAATTCATTTTGGTTGGCCTTTGCATTTTAAGCAAGGAATACAGTGGGTTTTTTTAAAGTAATATGCATGCCATATGGCAAGTATATTCAGCGTATTTCTTGAAAGTATATTTCCCCCTTAAAATCCTGTAAGTTGTTAAATTGAAAACCTAGAATGGAAACAGCCCTTAAATCCTAAAAAAGCATCAAAAACAGAGACATAATACAGTCTACTGCCAGTCATGAGCAGGATCATATAAACAACAGTGTATGGATTGTGTATCTATGAAGTTTTTCATAAGGGATGCAAACTACATTACACCAAAATTGCCCTAAGAAGGACTATTTTCCAGGCAGAAATCTTCTTTAATGTCTTTGCAGAATCTGGAATAAAGGTGGAGATCTTCATTCCAGTTGGTAATTGGGTTGGACTTGAGTTGGTTCTGTGTGCGTGCGGTTTATAATCGTTTATATAAATAAATATAAATAAATATAGTTGTTAAATTGTTTTCATATGTGCAACTGTTTTAACTGTTTTATGCTGCATATATGTAACTGTTTTATAAATTTATATATTGCAAATCACTCTGGGGTGTCTCATGGGAAACAATTCATAAATAAAATGAATACATGTGACATCAGATGGTTGAAGCCTCTAAACCAGAGTTTAGAGAAATATGTAAGATTACCTTCTCAGACTAAACCACTGGATTATCTATTCTGTATATCACATACAGAATGTGGAAACAGACAGATAGACTCTAAATTTTAGCATAGGTGTTACAGACCGAAGTGCCCCTATTTTCCAGGGACAGTCCCCAATTTACAGAAACCATTCCAGTTTCTGATTTGATCCTGGAATGTCCTGCTTTTCCTTAAAGGTAAAGGGACCCCTGACCGTTAGGTCCAGTTGTGGACGACTCTGGGGTTGCACGCTCATCTCGCTTTATTGGCTGAGGGAGCCGGCGTTTGTCCGCAGACAGTTTTTCCAGGTCATGTGGTCAGCGTGACTAAGCCACTTCTGGAGAACCAGAGCAGCGCATGGAAACGCCGTTTACCTTCCCACCGGAGCGGTACCTATTTATCTACTTGCACGGTGTGCTTTCGAACTGCTAGGTTGGCAGGAGCAGGGACTGAACAATCGGAACTCACCCCATTGCGGGGATTCGAACCACCAACCTTCTGATTGGGAAGCCCTAGGTTCTGTGGCTTAATCCACAGTGCCACCCACGTCCCGCTTTTCCTTAGGCTGTCCCTATTTTCATCAGAGAAATGTTGGAGAGTATGGAATTATGTGACAACCGAGCCAAGGAGATAAGAAATGAAATTACCATTAGAAGACATCTGGAGGCAGCCCTGTATAGGGAAGTTTTTTAATGTTCAGTGTTTTACTATGTTTTTATATCTGTTGGAAGCTGCCCAGAGTGGCTGGGTCAACCCAATCAGATGGGCGTATTATTATTATTATTATTATTATTATTATTATTATTATAGGTCGTCCCTATTTCATTGGAGAAATGTTGGAGGGTATGGAGTTAATACGCATCTATCCTCAAACTGCACTTTAAGCATTTTGAAAGCGACAATTTAAACTTTAAAATAGCTTGTATATTGTAGCTGGTAAGATACTAGTTTAAAATCTTACCTCTGTCATAATATTTGCTATGAATCTCACTAGTTCTCCAATACCCCATGTTAGATCAACATGCTCAAGTATGTGGTGGCTACTCCAACTCAAGATGGTTCTGACAGAATTTACATCAACTTCTCCAGTTTCAAGTGCAGTTTTCTGACTGAAATGGCATCATTGCCAGAAAGTAGGTAGAGGGACTTTGATTTGCTGAACCTCTCAGATTACATTATCCTACTGTAAATTGGCTGCAAAGGGACTTGGTTCCAGTCCTTCCTAGAGGCTAGATTCCAAAAGTGGTGCTGGTGAATTTCCAGACACTTTGGCCATGCTTGTCTTGCAGAATTCTGTTCTGGCCTCGATGCTCTTTAATATTTGTATGAAACCACTGAGGGAGCCCATCTGGAAATTTGGAGTAGAAGAAGAAGAAGAAGAGTTTGGATTTGATATCCCGCCTTTCACTCCCTTTAAGGAGTCTCCAAGCGGCTAACATTCTCCTTTCCCTTCCTCCCCCACAACAAACACTCTGTGAGGTGAGTGGGGCTGAGAGACTTCAGAGAAGTGTGACTGGCCGAAGGTCACCCAGCAGATGCAGGTGGAGGAGCGGAGACG